CTTTTACATTTATCATATCTATACTAAATTGTTTCACCGTTGTTTGTAAAGAAACACGATTAAGTTATTGACTTTTTAATGATCTTATCTTTATATGAATACTTATAATTAGTTTTAATGCTATCCATGTTCTAATCAATTTAAACACTCCCTTCCTTGTTTTATCTTCTAAATTATGGTCTAAATTAAGTAATAAACTTATTTTGGTTATGCAAGTAAAACTATATGTTCTCCGTAACAAACAAACGTATATCATATAAACAAGCACTTGATTTTTTTCCGTTTGTTTTAACGGTTCATTTATAAACAACTGTGCGTTTGTAAAAGTGGAGAAAATAGGACAACTTGAAATAGATTCAATCATTGGTGTTATTCAGTTATTTGTTAAAAACTTTACTTTCATATATTCATGTTCACACATTATTCAATACATCAAATCTTTAAGTATGATTATAAACTACACTTTTTGGGGGGGGGCAATTAAACAGTCAAAATATGTTTGGCTAGACTAATATCGAAAGTGAAATAATCATTTCATTTCATTTAAATAATTTGCAATGAAGCCATTTATCAATTCCTTGACAAAATTCACATAATTATGTACAAACATTGATTGTTGAAAAGTGTTTCAAAACTTAATGACATGTATCAACATTTACTTTTATGCAATATAATTTATCAACACAGAATTTCTTAAACCTTGATTCCTACAAAAGTATGTAGTCTTTTTCTAATGATACTACATATTCCAACTCATACTTAAGTTAGCACTTCAACTCAGTGATAATAACTAGATTCTGTTAAGCTTTAAGGCATGAACACATCTATTTGATGTTATGAAGCGGAAATATTAATTTTAACTCTTTTTAAACTTCAGAAAGTTTCAATAGAAATGATATAAATACGGATGATGAGTAACTTTTAAGAAAAGTAACTGCGATAAGTGATCATTTCAGACGTTTCCAGTGGGAATTAGCACTCAATAGATCTGGATTATAATTGGTTGAGATACATGCCGGGTAATATGAATATAAGATTCTGGAATAAAGAGTTATGTAAAAGAAATATGATTTAAAAGTAGACAATGTATTTATGGATACACGTTTTAATTTGTTTGTACGCCGTCAGTTCAATTTCATTTACATTCAAGTAATCGTTTTATAGCTGAAACGTTAGCCCAACACTTAACGGTTAGAACAATATTGACTAGTGTAGTCCATATTTCAAGTGTTTGTAAATTTAAACCACAATGTAAGTGATCTTATATGATGTTGTATTATTTCAGTTGTTGTTTGTCGGATCAACTTATGCAAAGATCATTTTCATTTCAAACAACTTTTGTTTAAAAAAAGAATGAAATTAAAAAGTGAGGAAGTTATTTCTGACGTAATAATGCATTTTTATTCCAACTTATGTAACTAGCATTCGAATCTTCTTTTTGATATTCCTCTGTAATTACTAGATCATTCTAGTCAGTCAATGAATTGAAGGAATCAATCATTTTCCATCGATATAAGTGATTGTATTACGTCACTCCATTACTATACTAATTCTGTTAGATGAATTCTTCCAGCCCTAAATTTATATCATAGAATATATTTTCACTTATCGTTTTCAGCATCTTCAACAGAAACTAGTTTAGATAATAATCAAGGAAGCGTATAAATTGTCCCGATAGATTAAGTATTGTATTCATGTTTATATTTTATCTGGAATGTTTGTGATTCTCTAAATGCAGATATTTTAAATGATACTTCCATTGTAAGCCTCAAACGAGATCGAACCTGACATATATAAATCTAGTAAGCAGCATCTTTTATCTTATGTGCATGCCAAAGTAGTTATAATTCTAACATATAATCAATGCTGAGATTTCGTTACAGTGATTTTACCAGTCAGTGAATTTATAATATACTACTATTAAGCAAAAGTTAAGTAGTCAGAAAACTATAAACAACTTTTGAATTAAAGATTTATATTTCATTTCACAAAATTCAATCTAAAAGAATCAGTAGTATCTTTAACATTCATACAATAAGATAATTAAAAACAATGTAAAAAACTGAATCTTACGTAAGTGTCATTATCAATGTTTGACTTGATAATTTTGAATAAATTGAGCATTGGGTAGATTGTTATAAATAAAATAAAATATTTGTAATATCCCAATGAATAGAAAAATTAAATTTTTCTGACGTTTCCTGACTCAGTGTAAGCCACTTCTTCAGAGAATAAATAACCGAATCAAACTTAATCCAAGTTTAAATAGTACAAAAAAAACAACGCAAGACTATTATATGCGATTAATTCTTTGAAGAGGTGGCTTACATTGAGTCACGAAACGCCAGAAAAAAATAATTTTCCTATTAATTGAGATATTATAAATATATGAACGCTTTAATGAATCCTACGTGGTTTAAGCTTAAATAACTTGTAAAATTACCAACCACTACTGATCATATTGTTATAATAATAATATTATTATTATTATTGGCTTTATTCAATATTGTATTTTGGCACAATATAGAATCCTCAGCACAAGGTATTTCAACAAGTTTCTTTTACAAAAAACAAAAACAAAGACAAAAAGAAAGGAAAAATGGTTAAAAAGATCTAAAAAAATTGTACAACTTTCCAAATTAGAGATATGTTTAAGAACTCAGATTATTGACTAGGTTAACTCTAACAACTTGTTCGTCACAGAGTATATTTGCTAGGTAAGGTATTATAGAACGTTTATACTTTTGCTTGCGTGCATGGATTTCAATGTAATTACGTCTCGTTCTACCAGAAGATATACAAGGAGAAAGATATGAGTGAAGGGGATGATTAGCACCTGATAAGATAACACCTGCCAGGAATTTGCATGACTTTAGATGTCTGTCCACAACCATATTAATTATGACCTCAAAAGATTCACTGCACACCTAGCTAGCTTCCTTCAGAACCCTCCGCAATACAGTAAAGTCTTTTCTCAAAAGCCCGGGAAATAATAATGGAGAACAGTAGAGAATAATAGGTAATATGCAGGAGTTAACAAATTGTAAGAGTAAATGACAGGTAATCCTAAAAACATGCAGCCTCTTTATGTAGTAAGTCAAATGGAAAACTTTCTTCGATAACAATGAAAAGTGAGAAGACCAAGAGAGATCAGAGGAAAAGGTAACACCAAGATAATTGACCTTCGACACTGTGTTTATCAAAGAGTCTCCAATGACACAAGTATTATGGGATACCAAAGAGGTATTTAAATGCCGTTCGTGTCTCATGCTAAAGTTAACAGCTTGACACTTAGACAGATTAAGTATGAGACCATTAACAACAGAACAACTATCAATGCGAGACAAAAACTGGTTCATTTCTATAGGATGTAAAGAGGAAGAGATAGGCATACAAACAGTGAGATCATCTGCATATTTCACAAATGTGTTTACTGTGGAAGATGGCAGATTATGCAGAAAAAAAGAGAGAAGAAGAGGTGAGAGAACAGCTTCTTGTGGTACACCTTCATAAGACAGTAGAGACTGAACACTTTCCTCCAAACACTGTGTACTGTTCCCTTCCAGAGAGGTAAGAACATAATCAGTTGGTTATCCAGCTATCAGTATTATTCTGACGATTGCATAACATTTTGGTGTTTTCTAATGTAGAATAATTTATATTTAAACCCTTATTTTTTTCATTTTAAAACTATTTTCTGTATTAAAAATATTGAAACATAACAAATTGAACGTAGATCTGTAAAATATAAAATAGCTGATGGTCAAAAGTTCAATTACATTGACGGTTAAAGGAAATTTGTTTAAATCATCTATTAATTATTGTATTTTTATTTTTCTACCTAATAAATAATTTCTATTATTGATTGAATAGTTTGATATACAACTATAGTGAATGAGAATACAATTGAGGGCAATCGAATGTATTTGAATAGAAAATTGCAGAACATGTTAGTAAAATTTAAAAATCATACAGTAAATACTTCGCAACTGATTGATCACTTGGTGATGATCAATGTCATGTGTTTCAAGTCCTTCTTAGTGCAGATCGAATGCTATCGGGTTCAGGGTTTCCTATTGCTACCTCCAAGCACCATCTTATCTCAATATAGTGCACGCAATGTTGAGTTACCTAAACTAGTGGCCACTTTGCAACTTGGTCGATAGAATTTAATCTGCACTAAGAAGGACTTAACACACATAGCAGTGCTCAACCACCACCCAGTGATCAATCAATTGTGAATGCATCTCAGTCCTACAGGGGGTCGGTTGCGGCCCGAATAGATTACAGGTACACCTTGTTGACGAGTATCAAGTAGCACGAAACCCGGGTCCAGGGTTTCCTGTTGACTACCTCCAACCACCATTTTATCAGTAAATACTTCATTTGGAAAATGTCAATCAATCGTCTCAGATTTCATTGTTCTTCCGTTTCCACACGAATTATTCTTTGTTCTTGTTCTCTTTTCTTCCATCTTCTTAACATTCTGCCACCAAATGTCTCACTTTTGATTGATGATACATGCTATTTATATCTGTTAACATCAGTAGAACACAACACACAACTAGTAATGTTATTTTAGTAAAGATTATTTGCTCATAGATTTTATTTTAATGGTATTTATTTAGTTGGAATTGGGAACTCTTTTTACCTCAGTCTTATGGCTATTCAATCATCAATTGGAAGCACTGCTGATTTTCAATATCCACTTTATAAATAGTGCTTTTCCCCCAATAATCTTTCATCCATACACATAATCTCTTCAAAGGAATATGTAGTTATATGTTTTTAAATCAATCTATTTAAGTAGATACTCAAGGTTCCATTTCAAAGTATCCTTGTCTTAGAAGAATAAAAGTACCATTAAACTTAATGACGAATATTAATTTCTTAATTAGTAACAAATTGTAAACTTTGAAGAACAACTAAACCGTTTAAAGCATATTTTATTAACTATGATTTGTTTAACAATAATTGTCTTTTATATTTTTTAATTTCAGGAATCTAGGTCTTTTATCTTGGAGAACAATTCATCAAAGTCCTGCATTTCTTTTAGCTCCAAAACCACTTTGTTTGCGTGTTCAAGGCTTGACACATTCACAAGCTCAGTTATGTCAACGTTATTTTGATCATATGCCTGTGATAAGCATTGGTGCAAAATTAGGCATTTATGAATGTCAACGACAATTTCGATTTAGACACTGGAATTGCAGTTCTGACAATGAAGCTTCAGCATTTGGTCCGGTAACTTTAACAGGTCAGTTTATAAATTAGTCTTACTATTTTTAATAAACTATCGTTAAGTTCTACAGTTGCAAATCATCATCAAATTTGAGGTAATATATATAGTAAAATAAGTTTCTCATCTGAAGTTTGTAATCGTCGAAGTGGTCAATATTTAGTGTAGGTCAACTGAAATTGTCAGGATAATAATCGGAATATATGCGTAGGTCATGTAAAGTGAATGAAATAACAACGTTTGTTCGAACAAGGATAACATAGTTTATGTAATGTTAGCAATCATGCCGACCGTATTAAAGTATCCTGGCCTTACGTCTGAGTATTTATCCTGACTATTAATCTGGACATATAACTGTAGAATTTAACAAGAATTTCTTGAAAAATGTATTGTTTGTTCATACATCTATATTGAAATGTAATCTCAGATTTTTAAGCAACCGAACAATGTTACGTATTGTAGTTTAATATGAACTTATAAATAACATAATTCACAATCTAGATTTGTAATTGGTTTCTTTTTGCTTGTCATCGGTACTGTAGTCTGTCCAATAATTATAGTTTCTTAGCTATTTACATTCAACACTATGTGGAAATAAATTGTACAAATCTTTTCGTCTATAATAATGTTGTCGAACTGTCTAGACATGGTTATATAATCGCAAGTTTTCAATAAAATTAGATAGTAGCTAACAGCATAATCTATTAGGCATGTTTCTTTTTAGATTCAGGTAAATCCATCTGACCAGTCCCAATACGGATGGAATACGCTTTCTGAATTACAGTACTAGCCACTATTCAACCTTAACGGGACCCTATCTAAACTTGTTAGTTTTCTCATTCTACTATGTGTTTGTTTAGAAAAAATATTGTATTTGAATTAAGACCTTAAATAGCTATAGCATATAGGATCATCAACTTTCCCTTAGATTTATATACAACTTAACATTTCAGGATGAATATTTCTAAAATTAACTACTCAATCATTCTTATACATTCGCTTTTAACAAAAATAAAAACCGATTCATTTTCTTCACACTAAATGCATTCATTTAAGTAGTATTGAATTAATGCTAATTTCTTCTATTAGAACAATAATAATAATAATAATGAGGATGTTTAGAGATAAAATTAGACATTTTTGTATTCTATAATAAATCATTTTATAATCTTTTCTATTCACTTAATTCTATTGTCATTTCCTATTTCGTTTAGCTTCTTCTTCTTCCTCCTTTTCGTCTTCTTCACCTTCTTCTTGCATAACTTGTTGAAATCAGACTAAACATCCCTTTTTATTAAAATACTCTGAATATAATTAATGGGTTTCATTCATTTTTTTTTAATAGAATTAAAATGATTGAACTTAATTTATCACACTTTTACATTCATTCTCTATCTCTAATTCACTTCTTCTATTCATTTGATTTTAATTTGTTTATTGTAATATATACGTGTATTAAGTATCATGCATCATCAAAATGAAGTGCCATCATTAGTTAATCTATTCTCTTTGAAAAGATTAGGAAAATATAGAATTAATGTATACATTGTTTTGTAAAACTCATCTATACAAGAATACCAATACTCCATAAACTGTCGGATATCCGTTCTTTTTAAAACAAAATTGAATAAATAAACAAATAAATGAGGAAAAAAATGAAGAAAAAATGGTTGTGATAAGAGCAAAACTTGAAAAATGATGTATAACTTGAAGGAAGAAAAGATTTTAAAATAAGAGAAAATAGTAACCCTAATAATAAGTTCAATAGTTGAGATCATGAATCAATTGAAGCTAGATCATTATGGAAAATCTGGAAACACTGAATAGTGGTTTTGTCCTGTTGTGGCACTCCTTAGCAGTGCGCATCCATGATAATTATGTTGAATTTATTTACAATTAATAATACGATTTATCTTCTTTTTTTAAAAAAGAAGAACAAACAAATAAACAAAACTTTAACAGTTTCACTTAAAAATAGTTCAAAAAGAACAAAGTTTTCGAGGGTATATTCTAAGCTTAATTATGATATTGACTAAATCTCTTATTTGGTATTTCATAAAATATGTAACTGATTCATAATAAATAACTGTAGACCATATGTGTATATAGAAGTGTACATTTTAGATGAAGTTTTGTTCACTGAGCTGGAGGATTTGATCTTGGAGTTTTCATTGTTCATCTGAACAATATCATCAGCACAAACTTCAGGTTTGTGTATATTTACCTGAGCTACAAATTTTCTCTTTAATTTTAACTGTATATTTTGAATGTCTTTTCAGAAAGTGAATAAGATTATTATATTGAATAATTGAGATATATTACATTAGAAAGATTTTATGCTAAATCTCTTGGTAGATATACATATATATTACAAATAATGATCTTCATAACGTTTCTGTCTATGTCAATAGAAATACAAAATCGAAATATCAAAAACACGTAAATTAATATGAAAATATCCTATTCAACCATAGAAAATCCATTACGCTTTTGTGTTCCTTTAACAGTTAAAGTCTATATCATTGACATCATATGAAAATATTCCAATACAATGTTGAAAATCATCTTAGAATAACATCAGTTGAAGCATAATTACAGACCAAGGAGCCATATAAATCATAGAGATAGAAATTGAATGGTTTACAGGTTACTTTAGGAACGATGAATTTTCATTTAACTGTTAATATACCAATGATAATTATCAGATTATATCAATGGATCATCACGTCAAACTCAGCATCATCGCACTTCGTAAGTCATGACTTGTAACTAGAATCCCATATATTCATTCCTACATTAGTAGCCATTAAGTAGCATATAATTGTTATCATAAAGAATGTTTCTGATTTTTCAACAGTTTGTCAGTTATTGTTGTTATTACGTGTTGAAACAACAAAGAATGTTTAGATCTAAACAAAATGCTGTGTGTTTTTTCATGATCATTGAATAGACATCTCTTCATTATTGATAATGAACATGTTTCAGTATTCAACAGTTTTTAGAAGAAGGATGAAAGGTAAAAACAGTTACCTAATGATACAGCCTAATGGATGTATATTCATTTGAAACTTATTGACCAATTAATTTAATAAATATTTCTGTGATTATTAACAATCATCATAAGCGTATGTATATTATTTATACAGTTTTACTCGATCAGCAACTTAATTCTCTCAATAATATGCAAATAATATGTAAATATTTACAAGCGCTGACAAGCTAAGCATACTATTAGAATTCATAACCTGACATTCCACTCAAACTAGACTATTTATTTTGATAAGTAGTTTTAATGCTATCACTATTGAGCTTGATGAAGAGAATTTACTGCTAAAAGTACCCTTCATCAGTTAGGAAAAGGTGGCGAAGCAACTATTTTGTCCTTATTTTTAAGTCATAAACAAATAAGTGTACATAGCCCTACAGCAGACGGAACTTAGGACATTTCGAGAAAAAAATGGCACATAAAAAATATTCAGTTGAAATTTAATGGTTTACGTTATTCAGTTAAATTCTGTTTTGGGCATAAAACTATCAGCATCCATTTTCATTGAGTTATAAATGTTTCACGTCTGATAATAATGATATATTGAGTTGTTTTTGTAAAACAAGTCAATAGTCTGTAGAGATGTATATTTGTTGTGAGAAGTTACAAAGTATTTACATAATACATATATATAGCCTTTGACCATACATTTACATGCTTCGGTCAGTTATATAATCCGACCTGTCTTCTCGTCTGCCCTCCAAATGTTCCACCAACGCCATGCTTTTGTTGTGCTGAAAATTTTCACTCTGTCCAACAACATTGAGGTCATATTCTGCAACATACTACTTACAAGCAATCATGTGAGTAGTGTCCACTGCAGTTTTAATTTATTATTACTCAATCAGCTTTGAAGGTTTTAGGTTTCATGTTTCCAAATATACATTGCGCTAGGATCTGATAAATTTTGACTAGACTAACTTGATTATAATACCGCGAGTTGAAATGATACATTCTATGATGAAATTAATATTTTATTCCTCTCTCTCTGTCCCTCGCTCTTTCTTTCTCTCTGTACATATAGATACAGTTCTTGTTTAACTTAAATGTTTATTCAACCATAAATCATCTTCATTTTCAACTGTGTTTAGAATGTTTCTTAGTTAAAACATCAGTAAAATTTATTCACTTGCATAAAAAAATGGTTGAACTTTTACAGTTTGAACAACAAAACCATTGGAGAATAGTGAAAAAACTTTTCATATTAGCCCTTAGTCAAGTTAAAAATAGCTCCATCATTTGAAAAAAAATTGTACTAAATGTTATGAATCGATCCGTTAGGATTATTCAAGTTAGGTTTTTGTAAAGAAAAAAAGAACGGAGATGAAAATTTACCGCGTTTAGTTTTCTGAAATTTTTAAACATGGTTGAAACACAGTGAATAAAATACATCAATATTACTGTTTTTAAATCAAACAACTGTTTACAGTGAAATAGTATCCTATGAAACAGCTTAAATTTTCTTCCCAAAAAAACCACTCCTCTTATCCTACTATGGTGTATACTACTTATGTTAATATATAAAAGTAGTATGTAGCATCAATAGGAAATAGAAAGCCTGTGAGCAAAAGATTAAAAATACTGGAGTGAAGAAAAGTGTGAAAACCAAAAGTCACCAAGATAAAAACAGGAATGAAGGAACAATGTTGTGTGTTAGTAACAATTCAAAACTGTGCAAATTATGTTGATAATGTTTGATTTTCACATCTTACTAAACCACTGTATCATTTTGAATTGTATAATAAATTGGCTATGTTCACTAAGTTTTTAAACATTGAATTTATGTGAATAATCTGCTCCCCAATTTATATATTTGATCTCAATTCGTAAAATCTTACATTGAAGTAAAGGACATTCTGTTTGAGTACCAGTATGAACACTAACACCAGGACATAAATCTAAATAGGACTGAACGCGTGTCCTTGATTCAATTGCTAGTTATTATTCAATTTAAATAAAAATGTTATATTGG